AGCAAAAATCTAATGGTTGAATTCGATAATTGCAGTGTGGAGGTAATGTTAAAAAACATGTTATTTTCTTTACCTTTTAAAACAGCTTCCAGCTTCTATGACTAATATAGCCGTCCAAGATGAACCACCTAAACATTGTCCCGTTAGTTTCACTTTCGTCACCGTTTGTTTAAAAATGTTCCCAGATGCTGTTCGGAACATAGACAAAGTAACTGTATTCCCTCGTTAATTTTTTTTTCTGTAAAAAGGAATATTTCACGATTTAAATTAATTTTACATTGAGCAGTTAAAGTATGTAGTTGAAGTTCGAGATTGTGTTTTGAAGGCCCCTTTCCAGGGTAAGATATATTTTTTTCGTATGTCTTTATATTTTTATCTTTTGCTTCTCTTCTCCTACTTTAAATTTATATTTTCTCATTTAATTAGGGTCTTCAGCAGATTCCAAGGTTGGTCTAAACGTAATTCCAACGTTTAGTCCACCGTAATGTTAAGTATATTCCAATGTAGTCTTAAGTATAACCTTAAGTATGATCTTTAGTATGGTCCAAAGCCAACCTTGGTTGGTCTACGGTCAATTCACGTTTAGTCCCATCTATTAACGACCCCGCGTCCATAATCTACCAGTGCTGTGCAACGGAGCCTTCGAGCATATTGTGTACCAGTGCCCTAAGATTAAATTTTCGTAATCTATATCACTAGTTGCGTCGCAATGAAGACGCACTTTGAGAGTGTACTCAATGGCGGATCTAGATATTTGCCTTGGGAGGGGAACTTCCAATGCAGAAATGCAGGAACTATAGAGGAAAATCTGACATTCATACACGAAACGGTGAGAGAAATACAAGAACAACACCTGAAGAAAGATACAGAGAAACGGATATCGTGGATGACCGATGAAGTACTAGAACTTATGGATCAGAGAACAAAAAGCAAAGAAGATTAAGAATATAAGAGAATATATACGATCGTCAGAAGAAAGATAAGAGAAGCTAAAGAGAAACAAAAAATCAGAACAATGTCGACACAATGATGAAGACAATCTTGCTATAACCAAAGAATATAAAAAAGAAAGTATGGGAAGAATACCTGAAGAAATTTTTCCACGACCTTAAAAACACTACAAGAATCCTCCATTGAAGAAAATAAATTCAGGTCCCGAAATCCTACCAGAAGAAATAACGTCCGCCGTCACAAATAAAGGATGGAAAAGTACCGGGACTTAATGAAATTCCTGCAGAATTGCTGAAGCTATTAGATGCAGAACAAATAAAAAATAATAACTGAAATATTTAATGAAATATACAAGGCAGGAAAAATAACAGTAGAGTGGCTCAAATCGGAGTTCATACCATTGTCAAAAAACTAAAAGCAAAAGTTTGTAAAGAGTATAAGACCATAAGCTAATGAGCCATCTGCTGAAGCTGTTTTTAAAAGTCATCCACAAATGAATTTACCGGAAATGCGAGGAACAAATTGTGTCCAATCAGTTTGGATTTGTGAACGCCGTTGGTACGAGGAAAACTTTATTTAGCGTGCAGGTATTGTTTCATAAATGTAGAGATGTCAGCTGTGATGTTTTTGCATGCGTGATTGACTACAACAAGGCTTTCGATAGAGTTAGGCATGAACAAATGATAGAAGTCCTGAAGAGGACAGGGATTGACGGAAGAGATCTAAAAATAATAGTTAACCTATAGTGAAATCAATCAGCAGTTCTCCGAATAGTTGGAGAATATACAGATCAGGTCAAAATCCTAATGGGAGTAAGACAGGGGTGTATAATTTCACAACTGATATTCAATCTGTACTCAGAGCACATTTTTGAGAAGGCTCTAAAAGATATTGATGAAGGCATCTCAATAAATGGAGTCACACTCAATAATCTGCGGTATGCAGTTGATACAATAGAATTTTTCAATACCATAGAAGGGCTGCAAAACTAAATGAACAAAATAACGGGAACAAGTAGAACATATGGACTGGATATAAACACCAGCAAAACCAAGCTAATGATCATCAGCCAGGAAAACATACTGGAGCAAATCTGTATGTGAACCAAATGAGAATTGAACGTGTCTCACAGTACAACTACTTGGGAACTATAATCAATGAGTCTTGGGACAATAGTTAAGAGATTAAATGTCGCATCGGAAAGGCAAAAAGTACATTCTTGACTATGTACTCTGTACGGAGTAGAAACGTGGACATTAAAGGCGGAAACTTCAGGATTTAGAGCTATGGTTATACAGAAGGATGCTTCAGATACCATGGACAGACAAAGTCACCAATGAAGAAGTACTACGGAGGATGAAAACAACCGCGGATTTGATCAACAATGTGAAGGGCCGTAAGCTGTAGTACTTGGGACATATAATGAGAAATCAAGGCAAATATGAGCTACTCCAATGCTTTTTCAAGGTAAAATTTAGGGAAAAGGGCCTCAGGATGAAGAAGAATATCCTGGCTTGCTAACCTGAAAGCATGGTATAGACAGCTGTTCCGTATAGTAACCAACAAAGTCATCATAGCCAGAATGATTGCCAACGTTCAGAACGGACAGACACCCTAAGAAGAAGAAGAAGGGGAACTTCCAATGATACATCAACCAAAAGACATAAAAAAGATAAACTCAAACTACATAAAAGACATAAATAATCGGTTTTCGTTAATTTTGGACCTTCTTGGGGGGAAATTACCCAATTCCTCCATGTATCCGCCCTGGGTGTTCTAGACCAAGCAATACAACAATAATACAAAGATTTCCAGAACAAAATACTGAGAAACATTGTAGATGATCCTTGGTACGTGGCAAACAATGACCTTCATAAGGACCTAGGAATGAAAACTATGGATATAATTATCAAAAAGATGGCAGGAAGTCATGAGCAACGACTGATCAACGACTAGTGTTGCCAGGATAAGGTAAAACAAATCGGGATTTAGGGCTGTAGATCGGGACAAATAAGCAACAAGGTGTTTATAATCTGTATCTGATCATACATAATAATAAATAATCACATGAAATTACAGAACAAAATCGTAGATAAAGTAAATTATTTATTTTTTTGTTAAAATTATGTTTTTCATTAGATTTTGCCGCCTTTAGCAGTGCCTTGTTTTTTATAACATAGTTATAAAATTCACTGCAAGTCATGCTAAAATTAGTTTTAATTTGAATTTCTGCTTTGACATGTTTCAGTGTCAAACGGTTTCACCGCTCACACCAAATTAAATTAACCTGGGAAAATACTCTTTCCGCAGCCGCGTTTGATACTAGTATTGAAGCAATAAACAAAAATATCTTTTGAAGATTGACAAAGTCTTGGTTTTCTTTAAAAATGTTGTGCCATTTTTGTAGCGGTGTCAAGTCTTGGTTTTGCACTGCAACCTTTACTAATTCTTTAATTTTACACACTTCTTTATAAAGTTGATCCATTTCGAAGAACGTATAAATTTTTAGATTTTCAATTATGTTGACCATTGACGCATAAATAAAGCAGTCATCCTGGAGAAAAAATGACTTCTAAGTCTAATTTGCTATCCTGGGAATTGTATCTTGTTTCTAAGTTATGTGGAACACTTTTGTATCACGCACAACAGTCTTTTTTCATTTTAGTAACTTTATCCGCAGTCAACTTTTAACTAAGTTGCGGCACGTAAATCTCACAAATTCCTCTTCAATTCTCAGCCTCAACTTTTTGCTTAGGTCAAATCATTATTTTGTGCCCTTCAAAACACAGCAATGTTTCATTTTCAAGACATACTACTGATACTGAATCTTGACTTTCAGTGCATTTTGGTAAATTGCCAGACAAGGTTGTGTTTCGTCAGAGTTAAAGAATTGCCACAGCGCAGTGGAACATTCGTCTTCTCCAATGATATAAAATATTCTTTCAGGATATTGAAAGATTTGGTAGCACGTTCCACGGCCGGGAGAGGTTATAACCATCTCGTCTTAACATGTCGCAGGACAGTAACAAATTCAGCTTCGTGGATAACATAAAAAATCTTTCAGAACGTCAACTCGTTTTGCATAATATGAAAAATGATTGTGGAGCTTCAAAATGAAATTCTCTAACTAAAAATTACTCTTACCCAGGACATGCTTTACACTATTATGTAAGATGGTTTTGATGTAATGGCTTTTCATCATATGGATTTATCTGGACATTTAGTGTCCCGATCAGGTACAAATCGACGCGTCCCCAGACCCCTTAAAATCGGGACGTTCTGCGCAAATCGGGACACTGGTAAAGCTATCAACGACTCAAAGTAAAATAATCGAAAATACTGAAAGCTTTGTCCCCTTTAATCAAAAATCGACGTGTCGCTGTGTTTTTCAAAAATGTTGTCGCAGTTTCTGATAATGCCTCTGTTTTGTTTTAGTCTGGTCACCCGTATAGATATATAGATACTTTTTTATTTCAACTAACCAAACTGCTAACGTTATTAGCGATTAGATAAAATTTATTGCTTAATTTTACAAAAAAATCGAATTAAACAGATTAAACCGTTATAACTTAACCTTTAAAATATTATTTTCGGCTTAATATGATAAAAACGAGTTACAAGAATTGTATCTATATTTATTTATTACCTTAATCATCTTTTAGTAGCCTTTAACAAAAATATAATAAATTTAAACCAATTTCTTGGCATTTCTGATAATCGATACAAAAATGTTTTTTTACAATTTTTTTTTGGAATAAACCAAAAGATTGGTAAAATAAATTCCTATATACCAATGATTTAGCTTAAAAACATACCAACAAGCTGAATTTTGTTAAAAATGTCAAGTTTGGGACCCTAAAAAAGTTAAACCACCAAGGTTACCCACGCTTCTCACCACTTCGTCACGTGTTATTAAGGCGAAAATACTTCTGGTGACAAATCTAAGGAAATGCCGCCGCTTTTTTTATTACTATTCTTCGATAGGAAAACGACACTTCTTTATCTAACATTGTAACCATTTACATTTCTTATTATGTTTCTCTTTGTAGGTAACGGAATCATTCCTCCACACAAGTATATTTGCCTATCCAGAAAACGCTAATAAAACAACAACATTACGAATCATCGGAGGAAACGATGTTACACCTAACTCATACCCATTCCAAGCAGCCCTTTTTATATATTATAAATCAAAAACTAACCTTTGTGGTGGAAGTTTAATAGATGAGGAATGGATTTTGACAGCTGCACACTGTGTAGATAAGTAAGAGCGAAGCAATAACATACTAAAGAGTATTATTTATTTCACCATTCTTAAGGCCATATGACATTATGCATTTTCTTGTATCATTTCTTATATCGTTTCTGATATAGAAAGTTATTTATGTTTTCTTGTATCGTTTCTTGCAAGTACATTTGTGCTCTGTGACACTATGCAAGTTCTTTTACCGAAAATTGTATGTGATTCGGCACATGATTGGTCGAAATTTTGACACCTAAAAAAATAGAACTGCAGTACCTGAGTACCCCAAGCCAGATGCTACTGATTATTTTTTTAAATAGTGTGGGGCAAAAATGAAAGAAATAAAATGTCCCAATATTAAAACTAAATTGGAAACCACAATTTTTAAAGATATTCAACAGGCTGTAATGGAAGACAGAAATAATAAATAATTTGGTTGTAATAATTTATTTCTTTTTTTTTACAAATTATGAGTTTGAATGGCATGCTCTTGAAATTGTACTCTCTTATTTGGAAATATAAAAAATCTTTAAACTCATCACGAATTTTTAGAGCGGTTATGTATTGTTTTTAGTAATACATCTCCTTTTACTATCAGTAGTTCCGATGCTATTTGATCCAATCCCTATGATTTATTGTTTTTCAATTTGGCTACTACTGTTCTAATCTTGGTTATTGTTGGTGGGCACTTTTCTCTGATGTCCTTAATTGTATATCAAAGTTCTCCTCCAACCGCCATTATGACAGTAGTTTTACGTTTTTGCGCACAAATTGGCGCATCTCTTGTACAAGAAACTGTAGTGGACACAAATTCTTGTATCGTTTCTGATATAAGAACTATACGCTTGTACGACACTATCCATTTTTTGTTATATCAGAAACGATATAAGAAATGATACAAGAAAATGCATAGTGTCATACGGCCTTTAGAACTTTATTTTGAATTTCTTTAAAGAAGTTAGAATTAGTGGCTATACCTCATAATTTTATCCCATAAACCCACAAGGGTTTTTATTATAGATTTGTAGATACATATGTTGTTTTCTGCTGTTAGTTACCATTACGGTTTTGTACCGTTCATCCAATAGAATTTATGTAGGTTGAATCCAAGTTGTTTGCTTTTAGTAAATATATCCTTCCGACAAGTCAGTCTTCTGTCCAAATGTATACCTAGATAAGTGGTTCCCAACTGGTGGTCCGTGGATCCCTAGGGGTCCGCGAGGTATGGCTGAAGGGTCCGCAAGATATAAAAATAAATATATGAAGAGCCAGGGAAAAGAACTATATAAGTCCATTTTGCAATTTTTTTTTTGGAGAGAGAATAACATATATCGCGCAAACTTAAAGTTATATCAAATTTTAGATTGTTAACTATAATTTTGTTTATATGCCTAAAAAAATAATATTTTCGTGTAAGACAGATTCGGCCTCCCCTCTTCACCACCACTGGCACTGGAACTACATGGGACCCTACTTTGGCTTTATGCCGTTAAAATGCGTCGCTGTCGTCTGTTTGCATTACAGTTACACAGCCAATTCCCATTTCAGTTCAGAGATGTCAGTCAGCTATTGTTAGTTCATTGCTAGTGCGGTCCCTGATCGTGTTGAAACGTGTGATTTTGTGCAACATTTTAAAGCTTTGTTTTCACGGAAAGTTACATTACGCGTACGTTATGGACCGTTGGTTAAAATGTGGATCGTTAAAACGGAATAGACCTTGTCAGTGTCTCGTGAACCCAACTCGTCGGCGTCTCTTAAACCTAATTCGACCAAGATCAGTGCTGCAAAAATTAGAAAATACAACTCTGGTTACGTGGAAATGGGTTTCACGTTCACTGGCCCTGAGCAGCAGCTTAAACCTCAATGTGTAATTTACTACGAAAGTCTTTCGAATGAGTGTATAAAGCCAGCAAAACTCCGTCGCCATCTTGAGACAAAACATCCAGAGTACAAGAGTAAGTCATTCGATTTTTAAAAAAACAAACTAGAGAGCTTAAAAGATCTCATAAAACAAAACTAAACACTATGGTGCAAATGTAAATGAAAATGCAACCCTTGAATCCTATGAGGTATCTCAGCTTATCGCTAAATGTGGAAAAAAACATACAATTGCTGAAGACACTGTATTACTACCATCAGCAACAATTCTATGCAAGAAAATGTTAGGTGATGCCGTTGTTAAGATAATAAGTACTGTTCCGCTCTCTAACAACACTGTCCAAAGAAGAATTTCAGATATGGCCAATAACATTGAAGATATATTGCTGGTCAGACTTAGCATGAGCGACATGTTTGCTCTTCAATTGGACGAAAGCACCGACATACCAAAAAAGCGACAATGTGTTTTGTTCGATTTTTGTTGGAGATATTGGAAAATTTTCTTTTTTCATTCGAACTACTTCACACAACAGCAGATATTTTTACTGCATTGAATGATTATTTCAATAAACATGACGTCACATGGACAAAATGTGTGGGCTTTTCTACGGATGGAGCAAAATCAATGGCTGGCCACAAAGCAGGGCTTCAAGCTCGTGTCAAATCAGTAGCTCCTGAGGTGAAATGGACACACTATTGTATTCATCGAGAAACTTTGGTAGCCAAAACATTGCCTGAACCTGTGTAGAAGATACTTAACAGAAGTAGTTCAAATCGTTAACTACATTAAAACTCGATCTCTGCAATCCAGATTATTTTCTTTATTGTGCAAAGAGATTGGCAATGAGCATCAACACCTTCTTATTCATATGGAAGTAAGGTAGCTCCCTCGAGGGAGAATATTGACAACATTTTTTGAACTTAGAGATAAAGTTCGTGTTTTTCTTATTGACACCAAGTATGCAGATGATCTCACTGACTCTTCTTGGTTTTGTTCAACTTCCTATTTAGCTGACGTGTTTGAACACTTGAATGTATTAAACTTAAGTTTACAAGGGAAAAATGTAGACATGGTCAAAGTTAAAGATAAGATCAGTGCTATGGTAAAAAAGTGCCAGCTGTGGGCGGCAAGGATTGAAAACGAGTCGTTCACTAACTTTCCTAATTTGAAAACAGTTCTTGTAGTCTGCAGAGCAGAGTTTACCTGACCCGATAAGATAAAGCAGCCGAGCCCTACGAGCCTAGCCCGACTTTTAGGATATACTTCCCTGAACCTGACCCTGACGATGGTTGGATTAGAAATCCTTTCAGCTGTCAAGCAATTGAACAAATCTAAGGTCTCACAGAAGAACAAGATAAGCTTGTGGATTTGTCGAGTTGTGGTACGATGAAGGACATTTTTAATGGCAAGAAAATAGCAGACTTCTGCGCAAGGATTACAAAGAACTTGGAGACAAGCTATCGGTGTGAGCAAACATTTTCTTCCATGTGCTTCATGAAAAACAAATATAGGAATCGGCTTGACATGCGGTCGGTTTTCAGAATGATAGTTTCAAGTTTGGAACCTAACATTAAAGAAATAATGGATTCTAAGATTAAATTCAACGTATATCATTAATTGAAGAGTGAAACTTAAAACTAATAATGTACTTGTGTAGATATTCTGTATTTTCACAAATAAATCCTAAATAGCATTAGTTTGTTTTATGTTTTCACATATTTTGGCTCTTTTCAGTTAACTTTAGGTTTGTTTAGGACTTTAGGAAATAGTGGGGTCCACGTCATTGTAGTATCTTGATGAAGGGGTCCTTGGAAAAATTTAGTTGGTGAACCCCTGACCTAGATATTTTTTGCTGCTTGTTTTAGTTGATTATCATTTAGGTAAACTGAAGGACAAGTTTCACGTCGCATTGTGAATTTCACATGGCGGAATTTTACTTTGTTTGTTTTGATTTGCCATCTTCTAAACCATTGTTGAATTGTAATGATGATTTGTTTCCTTGTTACAGTGATCCCATAAAGATAGTTGTAAAATTGGGACTCCACAATGTCTATGACAATCAAGGATCTACAGTGCAAATTTATGAATCCAAAAGGTACTTTAAGCATTCGAAATGGGACGAAAAGACACTTCAAAATGATATCGCTTTAATTAAATTACCCACAAATGCAACATTAAATAAGTACGTTAATTTGATAAAAATTGGTGACAATATTGATTATTCTGGGCGTGTCGGTACAGTGTTGGGATGGGGCAAGACAAACGATGGTGAAATATCTACCAATCTAAAGGAAGTAAATGTGAATGTTTTGACTAACCAAGCGTGTAAAGCAGTTCACAGAGAATTTAATGAGGTAACTATGCCAAATTTGGACGTTAAATAAAAATATGTCTTTTTAGGTGTGCTGTTATAGTACAACATCCCACTGCAGGATCACTAAGTTCATAACATAGTTAATCAAACTCACATTTTTACATACATTTAAAATTAAGATAATACATTGATAATAGGTTGCCAGTCAAAAAGTGCCAGCAAATATTTTTAATTCAATTAATAGTTATTCTATTTATTTTTTAAATAAAATACGCTGCTCATGACGTATATGCATGTTTTTTATATCGAATTAAAGCTAATTGTTTTCTTAATATGATTATATAAGGTTGTCTGAGAAAAAATGGTCTCAAACTACGCTTGCCAGCTGTTAAAAGACCACTGACAGACCACAAAACAGAACTGACACTTCAAACCATTGGCGTTGCGCGCTAGCTCTATTTTACTTTATAGATTTTATACCTCGCGTTTCTAACGGCTGGCAACCCGAATTTGCGACCATTTTTTCTATCGGATTAGTATACGACGACTGCCAAGAAGATGCATTATCACGTATTTTATTTAATGTAGTTTTGTAAACAATTATAAAGGATGCAAATTTCAACACTACGAGCAGTAGTGCTTACTTAAACAGAAGTATACATATACTTGTATATGTAGATGATCTGAATATCATTAGGTGAAACAAAATTAAAGAAAAAGAAACTTGTATACGCCTATAAAAATACTTAGATAACAAATAAAAATTTGACCCAGAAATTTTTAATTTGGCATATTTTTAGATAATAGTATCCACTCATCTTTGTACATCTGGACAGGGTATCAAAGGAAGTTGCAGCGGTGATTCCGGTGGACCTCTTATAGTAGATGGAGTTCAAATAGGATTAGTTTCATTTGGACCCGAGAACTGCATGCTTGGGTATCCTTCTGTTTTTACCAGAGTTTCCAGTTTCGCCTCATGGATAACATCTACGAAACGCAATAGTGGTACTCGCCTGGGTTTGAATAGTTTTGTTATATGTGCAGTTAGTTTGGTATTTTTTATTAATATTAGCAAATAAAGATATTTATATGACTGAAGTAAAAATGTTTAAACCATTGACAGGTCTTTGACCACAATATTGTTCTATTTTGATGTGGCGATAAGGATAGAGTAATGTAGACTGCTAACATGATACCAAGAGATCAGCAACATTGTAACATACACACTAAATCGAACTATTAGGAAGTAGCTCAGAACACTGGTACACTTTGTGGCTCGAACGAATCGTTGCTCAGTTGTTGTAGGTGATGGGCGGGATTAGGGTATGCGCGAAAGAGATAAACAAAAAAGAAAAGAAAAAGTGCCAGCCCCACTCTCTGGAAAAGAAATATGAAAAAGAAAGTTATTACAGAAGGGAAAATGTAAACGAACTAGAAAGAAATACAGAAGAGACCGAGATTAGCTGGATCGAACTGCAACTGCAGGTAGGTACAAGTGTTCAGAATGTGGACAAAGAAACAAGAAAAGTTGTCTTACAAATGTTTAATAAAATAGGGATTAACAAGGAAACGTATAGACCTCATTGCACAAACAGAATTAAGAAAACCACATTGTGCAGGCATAGCGACTTAGTGGGGGTTCTGATCTTTGACTTTCAACAAAACCTTCCACTTCCAAAAATTCCTGCTGGGGAAGCTTTCTACAAACGCCAGTTGTGGACATACAACTTTTGCGTCCATTCTGGTAAGACAAATCAAGCACACTTTTATATGTATGATGAAACTACGGCTCGAAAGTCAACAAACGAGGTAGTGTCATTTTTGTAGCACTATATAAAAAATTATATACTCCCTAAAAATGTTTATACCTTTTCTCCGATAACGCTGCTGTGCAAAACAAAAACTCAGCAATGATTCAGTTTCTGTATTTGCTGGTGATAACTAGGTCTATTGACAAGATAGAGCACCGCTTCCCTGAGCCAGGACAGCTTTCTTCCCTGAGATCGCTGCTTTGGAGTTATTGAGAAGTTTTTAAGGAAAAAGGACTACGTTTTTAGCCCCAACAATATGTTGATTTTGTTAAACAATCATTCCAAAACAGTTTATTTCCATTCTGGTAAAATGAAATATGATCCTGAACTTTAGTGGTCACTATAAAGGACATTTTAAAAAAGTTATCTCAGATGCAGAAAAGCAACGATTCCACATTTCCAAATATCAAACTTTCCAGTACAGCAATGAACATTAAAGTCAGTAGGTATATCTACTGGCCTTCCGAATTTTCACTTATTCCAAATCTTGAGAAACCTTGACAGCGACCTCTCAGTATCTTCTGATATTCCTGTCTATTGCAATCATATACCTGTCAAAAAAGACAAATATGCAGATGTAATGCAGTTGGCAACACGATTCGTTCCTATGGACCATGGCTTTTTAAACTCGTCTCAAAAGTGATGCAGTCATGGCAGAGAATAAGAAAACCGAATCATCTGAAACGGATGATGACGACCAGGTAGATGAATGAAGGATGTGTTTGCCCGTCTGTTTAATGTTTTATTTTTTTCTCAGTGCTATTTTTTTGACACCAACCTGTTTCTTTTTACAGATTTTTTTGTATTTGTGTAGTAGGCAAGCCAGAGTAGTTTGATTGTTGTAACCGAATAAAATAGTTTTAATGAACTCAGATTATGGGGGAGAGAATGTGGAGGCAGCAAACCTACAAGAGTGGTTAGACTGCGACAGTACTGACCCGGGATTTGAGCATTTAACAAATGAAGACATCCTAAGAAAATGCTGAGGATAAAACGAGGAAAGTGATGAAGAAAATGATCTTGTACCTGGTGGACGAGTGAATCACGAAGCGGCCTTTGTGTCACGCGAATGAACTTCTAGAATAAGTAGAGAACTGACGAATGAAAAACTGATGCTGCGTAATATAGAATAAAGAAACACTTTTTCCACTCTAAAAGAAGCAGAAACAAGTGATAGACTACTTTTAAAAAGTAAAAATATAAGTACACATTGAAAATTGCAAATTAAAGCTGTAGGCTTTAGCTTTAACATTTTTATTTTTGGCTTTTATGCATTTGACTTCCAGTTACGGTTTACCTCCACGGAAAAACGGGAATTGAGTGTATTTGAAATAAAAAAAAACGAATTGTGATGCTCATACTAAATAGGACCTATACATATGTCAAAAAAACCTTGGTAAAAACGTGAACAATAGTGAGTACAACTAAGTAAGGACACATAGAAGTAAATGACCCAGTCATGTTTGCCATTTGCTTCTACCAAGTACCAAGGGTAAAGAAGTTAAAAAAGTTTAACCAAAAAAAATGAAGGTGGCAGAAAACCCCGAAAAATATATGGAAGTGTTAGTGGAAGAATAGTTAGAAGAGGCATATGGATAGGTAACTATTTGCGAAAATAAAATGATGAACTGGACAATGTGGCAATCCTGATAAGAGGACTCAGGTGATACGAGAGTAAAATTTGAATATTCTATTATTATTTCTACTATTCCCAATTTTTTTAAAGTGTCTGCTTAAGCAGTTATGAATATGTCAAAAGTCAATTTCACTGTCACTAAAAAATTTAAAAGATGAAATATTTTTAAAAAACAATCTGAGGAAGAAAAAGAGGATTTTTGTTTCTTTTGGAGAAATTAAAAAAGACAAATACTGCATATACTTTTTATTTAAAAACATTAACAAATACTTTTAAAAAAGTAAATCTCTCTATAAATACTTTTATCCAAACACTATTTTCTTAAACATATAAATCACCAGTCCAGTTCCTACACCTCCTACAAATCCCGTAAATAAGAGATTAGATGCTTCTTCATGAGATAAAGGCATGTCTAGTTGCTGTGTTTCACCAGCATTCATGTGGTTAATTACATTCCTCAATACTTTCTTATTGATTAAAATGTCCTCTCTGTTGCTTCTTTCTAATTGTTTAATATCTTGCATATGATGATTTATTGACTCAACAATACTAGTTTCTATGTTGCCAACATTTATGGATGAAATTTTGTGGTCTATGTAAAGTTTAAGGTCTTGCCTCCAGAAGAATGTATATAAAAAAGCTTAAAATAAAAAATTCGTTAGTCATAGGTTATAGTTAAATATTATATCCAATTACAATTTATTTGCTAATCAAACTTCAATTTTGAATGTATTCTCTGATATAGGTCATCTTTGAACATATTTCCACCATATAATTGACATACTTTAAATATATGTTAAATAAAATTATTTTTTCTTTTATTATTTTTAAGAGATGCTACAAACTCACTGCTAACAAGAAGAAAACAAACTGTTGAACCAAAGTATATAAGATGGTAATGTAGATCCAATTAGCTGCAAGAAGCTATTACAGAAATGAAAAATGGGAAGGCACCAGGGTATGACAGAAAACAAGTGACAAAATGAAACGGAGTTGGTACTAAAGATATTTAATACCATATGGATAGAAGAGCAGATACCTAATAACTGGAAGAAGGCTCAGATTGTACTAATTTATAAAAAGGGTGATAGGCGGGATTGCAATAACTACAGTGGACTAAGACTCTTAAGTACTGCCATAAAAATATATGAAAAAATATTAAACAAAAGAATAACCAAAAAAATTGACAGCACACTTGGTGAATCACATAGTGGATTCGGAAAATAAAGTTACTAGTAACAAAATGGTAAGGGTTTTAAACACATTTACAACAGCAATATCAACTATGTCATCAGTCAAAACAGAACATCAAAACCATTAACTACGAATGAAGGTCTGAGTCAATGAGGAGGATTAAGTCCAATGCTATTTATAATACACATGGATGAGATAATTAAGGAATGTCAAATTTGTACATATTGTAAATATACAGTAGAATATAGTGAAGTTTGATATTAATATTAAATTGTACTTTCATTATAATGTACTGTTGCCCTACACCACTATGTAGTTAAAGGGTTTTTGAAAATATATAAGTAATTATTGTTAATCTTACCTAAAAATGATCCAATAATACTTAAAGTTAAACCAAAATATTTGCTATACTCCAGCTGTGACCTCTGTTTTTCTTGTGAATCTCGGACAGCATTGGTAAATGCAGTAAAAAGATCTCTTTCAGCCTGATCATAGTCTTGAAAGGTAGCTGATACTGAACGTTCCAAATTTAGTACCTAAAATTAAGTCATTATATAATTTTTAAAATTTTTGTATATATTCTGATATCCTTGACACAATATGACCTTGATTTAATGTTATCTAAATAATAAACACTACTCCTTTTTTCACTACACTCAGTGTAAAAGTTATGTCAAAGAAATTTAAATGTCTTTAATTAACAATCATACCACAATGGAACAAAAAATTGAAAGTTGACTACATTTGAAGAAATTCATTGATAACAGGAGAAATTTAATGGAATTCTTGATGTGTATCTTATGATTTGTTATCTAATAATCATAAACAAACCTAATATTTTCCAATCCTATTAAAAATAAACAGTAGAAACTTGTTTTGATTCTTTATTATCACATGTTTAATCTGTTTCATATAAAACATAGTGTAAGGTTTATATGATTTGTCAGGATCGTCATGTAATAATGCTGGAGTAGTTTATTTTCACTCTATTGATCCTAACAGGAGCAGGATGTAAGGTTGCCAGAAGTAGGTTCTAGTATATTTATATTCATATTATAGATAATAGCAAGAATATATGTTTATTCTGATTTTTAAAATAAATAATAAAGTTCAAATTCAAATAATCTTATGGCTTTATCAGCATAACCTTGACTTGGTTTGATTTCTTCCTAATCAAATTCATTATTGTATTTTCTACATATTTGCTATTCTTCTAGCTAAACTCTTTTTTGTCAGTTTCTACTGAAGTTGAGTTGCTAAAATTTTTAACTAATATTCAATATCTGTTTATTATAAGATATAAGTATAAAATTACCTCTCTTTCTTCACTGATAAGTTGACAATAAACATCGAATTTCTCTTTTCTATCAATATGTTGAATCTGACTTTGTATTTCCTGAGCTTGCTGCCTCACCTCAGTTAATTGTCTATTAAGTTCTCTTCGTTTGGTCTGAGTTGCTAAAAGTTGATCCTAAAAACGATTTCAATGGAAATTAAAAAAAATTAAATTCGGTAAGGACCATTTAGTTCTAACGAAATTGTGACAATTATTCATATATAAATAGAAAGAAACATTGATAACTTTGATAAAAGAGAATATGTGATCGTGGAACAAAATAATGAAGACTTTACCAGAAAAGAAATACAAATATCAATAGCTGTCAAAATTGCATCACACCGAAATAAACATTGAACAAGAAAAGGTCAAAACTGAAGAATGAAATAAAAAATATTCAGTTGAATTGTTCAATGACATCTTATTTGATTATTGTATTAATAATAGCAGTAACCAATCAATAATTCAACTTACTTGCAAAGAGGTGACCCTATCTTGATAAACTTTTACTTCATCTAAGCCAATTATCTTGGTATACCACTTATTTAAATGCTCTATTTTTTCAAAAACAATCTTTCTCTGATCCTTTTTAAGTTTGTCTAGATACTGGGGAGCTTCTGCAAGTGCAGAATTTAATACTTTCTTTAAACTCTCCAGATTCTGGTTTATTGATTGCTCTTAAAAGTAAAGTAACTCTCATTTTCGGTAATTTATTCTTAAACTATATCACATGGTTTGCTTTAGATTTCTGATTGTTGGAGACTGTATTTGTATTATAAGTTATACAATTCTACAATTACTCCATAGATAACCTACGGTATCATACATTTTATTTTTCAAAACAAAAATAGGTTATGTTCTTGCTGTCACCCTGTCACCGAATGAATGTCACGTCAGGGTTGCCAGATGATTTTTTTTAATTGCCTAGAATTTTTGCCAAAATTTCCCTAACAACTTGACAACCATATTTAGCCTAGAATGGACCACCTAAGTCTGACGTCAGAATGAGCGGGATTTTTAAAAACCTCTTCAAACATTTCTAATTTGAGTTTATTGGTCACATAAGAAGTTGGAAATATTAGTATTTTAATTGTTTGTAGTATAAATAAGGACTTTTGGTTATGAACATTCATTCTGTGCGATTGGTATTATTTGTTGTTCGTGAATTTGTGAGGTAAGAATCCTCCTCAATGTTTTCTCCTTCGTAAGGATATAGTGGTATCATGTAATTTTTTTAAATATTTTTGTCCAATTATCTCTTTCCTATGCGTGTTGTTTTGCTTCGGAGAATGAATAACAAGTCATCTCTTTTATTTGGTCCGACCATCGTACTGGAGATCTTCCTCTGGATCTTTTACCCACTACGTTACCTTCAACTATCATTTGCTCTATGCCTTCTCTTCTTCTAGTTATATGTCCAAAATATCTCAGTATATTTGGGTTGATAGTAGTGATGAGTGTAATTTTATGTTAAGTTCTGCTAGAATTGAGTTATTTGTGCGATAAACGGTCCATGGTATGCGCAACATTCTGCGGTAGACCCACATTTCAAAGGCCATATATACGCTTTGATTGACCTTAAAGGTCGATTCAGACACATCAGTCACGTCTCGTCACCATCTCGTCACAGTGATTGCGCCGAATCGAACAATCCGTCATACAAAATATTCTTTAATACAAATATGGCGCCGGCATTCACACTCATAGTTGACGAACAGTTTGCCAGCTGTCAGATAGTTGATAGTTCTGTGACCAAACAGGACCGGTTCGGTACCGTGACTGATGTGTGTGAATCGACCTTTAAGGTTGATTCAGACACATCAGTCACGTCTCGTCACAGTGATTGCGCCGAACCGAACAATCCGTCATACAAAATATTCTTTAATACAAATATGTTGCCCGCATTCACACTCATCAGTTGACAAACAGTTTCCCAGCTGTCAGATAGTTGATAGTTCTGTGACCAAACAGGACCGATTCGGCGCCGAGGCTTTGACGGGACTGATGTGTCTGAATCGACCTTTAGAAGATAAGATATTGCGCATAAGTCGTGGCGTCATTGGAGAGTTTGACTTTCGAAATGTCAGTTTTTGTATGTATCAATAAATAATCTTTAATAAATAGTTTCGAGATATTCTTATGTGTACGATTATTGTAATTACTAAACCTCTTAACTTATTTTCGTCTAGTAATTTCATCACAGAATGCATATAAATCCCATTTAACTTTAACAAGAATTCAAATTCTACTCTCCAATGACGGCATGCGCTAAAACGACCCATTTTGTGCTACAGGAAGATCCTATCTTGTTATTATAGTATCATGCGTAGATCTAAAGCATATCTTACACTTACAAGCGTATCAAATACATCATAGGTACCACCAATCTCCTCACGTTTTATTCAATAAACTCGTCCCAGTCTGCTCAATTGCTTCCCATAGTTCAATTCTATTCCATGGCCCAATAAGATTTCTTTCATTTAATTTCTTTGTCAACTCTGCCCACATATTTTCGATGGGGTTAAGGTCAGGACTCCGAGAAGGCCACGGAAGATCATTAACATGAGTTTCTTTCAACCATTCTCGAATAATTCTACTTGTACGCACCAGGCAATTGTCATGTTGGAAGATGAATTGTTATTGGGAACTCTTGATCATTGATGGCAACATTGTGTTCTCAAGAATATGTTTGTAATAATGTATGTAAGATAATCCTTTCTTCTATATGAAAACGAACGCTAGGGGCTTCAGCACTTCTATCCCCGTTACGTAGACCAGAATCCTCCACTATTTCTTAAAGTATGAGTATACCGTTTATCAAACCTATGATTTCTCGGCCTATAAACTTTTATCTGACCGTTGCTAGGTATATGATTAAAACACTCATCCGAAAATGCAACATTAGACCAAAAGTTATCTTCATTTATGAATTCCTTACAAAATGTAACTTGCGATCCTCAGTCAAAAAAAGATTTCCATGCAGCTACATAATTTTTCAATTCACTTGCTTTAATCCTTCTAGGTGCAGCACAAATGCTGCCCGGAAAAGCTTTCTCTTTGCTAGCTTTTCGAGCTGTGGCAAAAGAAGCTTTCTATCAGATATTCTACTAACACCTTATTTTGTTGCTCTGTGGAGATTTTCTGCCCTCTTGAACGACACAACCACGCCAGAAGAGTTAAAATGATCCCATCTTTGTTTGATTTTCCATATGCATATATGGCTCACGTTCAAATCGGCAGCAACTTTCCTTAGTGACCAAACTTTTCTGTGATATAGCTGTTTACGTTTCACGGGGTTTATATTGGATGATGACCTGGAAGGAATCGTGACCTAATCAAAATCTGCTTTTCTTTCCGGATTTGGATTTCCGAGATCAGTATTTACGACTAGTACTCTTTATGCTGTGACCATAATAACATAGACGTCATATCCATACGGCTTTTGAACGTAGTGGTTTCTAGGTGCCTTCTACATCTCAATGCCGTTGACTAATTCAGTTCTTCCGCATTCGGAGTCAATATCTCAAATTCAACAGACTAGGTTATGCTTATTTAATTGCGATAACACTCACCATGTCTAGTTATTCAACGAACGACTAATCTGTTAATGGTGATGTAAAGATCCTACTAAATACCGCAATTTCACAAGAAAATTTTGTGAAGACATTTTGATTTTGTATAAGTATTTTTGTCTGTCTGTTACTGTCCTTAGAATTGTATCTGTTACGGTTTGAAAATAAAACTACATAATAGGATATATTTTTTTTATTATTCAAGAGATTGTTCTACATTTTTTCGGCAAACCACAAAAATTTCACAAGACAATTTTAAAAATATAGCAAAAATGATAACTGTACTTTATTACGTATAAAGAATGGAATAAAATTGCCCGTAATATTCACGCGTATATTTTTTATAGACTTACTATTTCTTATAAAAAAAGTATAGTATTTGTATAAACATCAGAACTTTCTCGATCACAAAGAACTGTTATAGAGTAAAAACATAGCAAGAAGAATGATGTCTACATTCGTCTTTATATAATTTATTTTCGAATTGAGAAATAAAAAAAACAATAAAACTGTTCAGTTCATTGAAAAAACTTGTTCTAGGACAGGTATTGTCATTGAGAGGAATATATAAAAGCTAAAGCATAAAAACTTCCAGGTGTTTCTGTTTACGAAATAAGGGATCAATAATAATAATAGAACATTTTTCTCATGTATATATAGGTAGGTGGCATGCAACAAAAGAGACAAAGCGAGATTGTTGCACGTGCCGAAATCTCCTCATCTTTTTATCGACAATTTGACTAACATATTTTGTAGAACACTACGGAAAATGGACAAATGAGGCGGGTTTTCCACTGCTTGTAAAAATATAAACAAGAAGTTGCAGATAATTTGTCTTGTAATGCAATGTTACCCGTAAAAAGGCATTAAAAGAACCACCGTGTAAACGCATCAATAATAATGTTAAGATTATTGTAATTTAATTACAATAATTTAATTTTTTTAATTAAACAATTTTAAAGAAAATTATTGTAATTTAATTACAATAATTTTATTTTTTTTAATTAAACAATTTTAAAATAAACTATTTTACAAACACAATTTCACAATTTATCAAAATAACCATTTTATAATCAACCAGAATAAAATAATCAAAGAAGAGTCAAATACGGAGACCTGAACAATTTTCTAAATTTCACCCATTATTTGACTTTCTCGGCAAGTAAATTGATTGCAGGTTTTATATATTTGAACATTATCAGTTTTTTAAAACATGTGTTTTTCAATAACTAAGGTAATTTATTTGTATGGTCGATGCTTTTTGTGATTTTAAACATTTTGACTACACAAAATTGCTCTATGACTGCTACTTCGGAATCGAAACGCTGAAAAACTAATAATCGGATGTGTCTCCCACGTCGACAACGGAATACTCTTCTGCTGGTAAATATGTTTCTGATTTCCTCTTTCATTTTCATTACTTAGTTTCATAAATTTGCTGCATAATTTTCTTCTTCTTCTTTAATTGCCATCTCCGCGACGAAGGTTGGCAATCATCATGGCCATTCTGATCTTCGAGGCAGCTGCTCTGAACAATTGCCTTGAGCTGCAACTAAACCACTCTCTCAGGTTCTTCAACCAGGAAACGCGTCTTCTTCCTACGGTTCTCCTACCCTGTATTTTTCCTTAAATTATGAGTCTTTGGATGTTGTATCTTTCGCCTTGTATCAATTGTCCGAGATATTACAATTTCCTTTCTTTTATTGTATTTTCCATTTCCCTCTCACTGCCTATTCTCCTTAACACTTCTGCATTCGTGACTCTATCTACCCATGGAATCCTTAACAATCTTCTAAATGTCCACATTTCAAACGAGTTAAGTCCATTTATTGTATTCCGGTTTAATGTCCATGATTCATCTCCATATTAGAGTACACTGTGTTCATAGCATTTAATTAGCCTTATTCTGAGGGCCAATGTTAGATCTTTGCTGCATAAAATCTTTTTCATTTTCACGAAGTTGGCACGTGCTTTTTCAATTCTGACTCTTATCTCTGCGATATAATCGTTATTTTCTGTGATTATCGTTCCCAAGTAAGTATATCTTTTTACTCTCTCAATCTGCTGACCGCCTACCATTAATATTTCATTTGTATTGTCGTTCTCGCTAATTTTCATGAATTTGGTATTTTTGATGTTAAGAGAGAGTCCGTATGCTCCACTATATCTTAATATTTTGTTCATTATTCTTTCTAAGTCTTCCAAGTTGTCGGCTATTATGACTGTGGTCGGCATACCTAATGTTGTTAATTAAAC